TAAATAAAGTGCATGTATGTTTTGTTTTTCTTTTTACTTTGCATTTTAAGGTACATTTTAGATATAGATGATGGTAACATTCATCATAGGGAATTTGTACCTGTACACGAATGTAACTTGCTTCTTCTTTCTTTCCCATTCCTCTCCCCTCCTAGGAACCTCCCCTCTCTGTCTTCAAAAGCCTTGTTTCCATTTCTTCCTTCCATTCCTTTTTTCTTGTTCCCTTTTTTCCTTTCTTCCTCCCCCCTCCCTCATTCCCCTTCTCATTTGAATATTTTCTTCCCATTTCCCGATATCTACTATACGTTTTGGTCCTTATTTACACTTTCGGCCTCTCATTCCAGAAACCATGCAATTTTTACACATGTGTCCAATTTATCTCACTTAAGAGTATGGTCTCAAGTTGTATCCATTTAGCTAGAAATGTCTCAAGCTTATCCTTCTTATCCTACAGCAGAGTAGTATTCCATTGTATGAAAAAAAAAAAACCCACATCTTCTTTATCCATTCATCAGTTGAGGGCATTTGAGCTGTTGCCAAGATTTGGCTAATACAAACTGAGCCACTATGAACATGGGTGTGCATATATCGCTGTGGTATGATGCTTTTAATTCTTTCAAAAAGATACCGAGAAGAGGAATAGCTGAGTCTAATGGAACCTCTAGTTCTAGTTTTAGTTCTCTGAGGTATCTCCATACTGATTTCCACAGTGCTTGCACCAGTCTACACTCCCACCAGCAGTGGAGCAGGGTTCCTCTTTCCCACAGCCCAGCCAGCATCCATTATTGTCTGATTTCATTTTCGAAGCCATTCTTTCTGGGGTGAGAGGGAATCTCACCATTTTCATTTGCATCTGGAGAGTTTGTATGTTTAACAATTGATTTAAAGTAATCTATAACTAGGCAAATTTTGAAAACATTCAAGTAAGGGAAAAATGAAGATCAGTCAAGGTATGAAGAGAATGTAAGATAATCACCTCTCAGCCTAATAAGTAAGAGAAGGCAGATGGTCATCAATTATTTGATATAGATTGAAAGTTGCTAAAACCATGCCTTCAAACTAAAAAAACAAGGGGAAAACTCTTTTGCAAGAGCATACTGGATAGAAGTTTAGAGGGGAAACTTTTACAAGCCCACTTCTTCCTTTCACTTCAATAAATGATTCAAACTGGCAACAATAGAGCCAGAAATACTCTTGAATAAAATGTTACTTTATAGAGACAGAAAGGAGAAATTATGTCCGTAATACTTGAAGTGATAGACCCTTCCAAAGCTGAACTTAGAGCTTTCTTTGCCCTGAGTTTCCTAGCAGCCAAAGTAAGGGGAAAATTTTGACATTTCACGTAACTTTCATTGTCTAGGAGAAGAAAACACATCAGTTTATGAAGAGAAATATTTTCTTAAACCTGTGTGTTAGGAAAACTTTATGGAAGGGTCTTTATATAAGGAACATTGAGAAGGAAATGGTCCGTGAACTCCAAAGCAGTTAGAGAATGAAGAATGCTATTCAACATGTGGCTATTTTTAACATCAAATTCTGAATGAGAAGAAAGATCGAAATGATTTTATGAAAGTATGACAACTTCGGATAACTTTTCTAATAGAAGAATGATGAGTATCACAGTATAACTTAGAAAACATGGGGGAAATTCAATACATTAAAGCTATTTTCTAAGTTAATCATATGAAAGAATCATCCATTTGCTGTTTCAAAAATGTAAATCCTACAGTGGTGCCTAGAACCCGCGTTGGGACCAGAAATGTACATTTTAAACAAGTGACTGTGGAGCCACGTTTAGAGAAGCCCCTCCCAGAACTGTCACTTTCCAAAGTCAGTTGTCACTGTTGTCAACATTGTTCTGACTCACCATAATAGGAGCTGGTAGGGGACCGGCAGGCATGCGGTTGAAGATCAGTGGATCTGGGATCACTTTCTCCAGTTTGCTAAAAATACGGATTCCTATAACCCAGCCCCAGGCTGGGACTCCCTTCCTAGAGGTAGGATGAGGGAATCGGCTTTGCAACAAATGCAGTCGCGCGATAAAGCTCAAGAACCTATGTTCTACCTCGTGGGCATACAAAAGGGGGAGAAGAGAAAGAAAGATATTTTATTATGAAAATTAAAGTTTCCGACTTGAAACATGGTCTGACAGAAGGCCTGCAGGGGTTCTCAGAAAGTAGAGCTAAGATTTCTTAGAGAGCAATTTCAGGTCTGTCCCAGCTCTCTGGCCAGAAATTAACTGAATTTGTTGAACCGACTGCGATGAGTAATTAAAGTTCCCAACACCTTGCAGCCCTAGGAAATATCCTAATTTAGGGTCAGTTGTCACCCCAGGCCATTGTTTCCAAATATAATCATCCTTCCTCTGAAATCCTCAAACAAACATTAGAGCCAGAAAAGAATTTTCTGTTCACCTAAGTTTTCTCAAAATAAAACAAAAATCTGAAGGCAAGGTCATGCCCAAAGTAACCCAGCTAATTTGACACATGTATCTTAGAACCCTAGGCCCCGGATACAACTGCAACCCATTTCTTCAAGTACAGACTTGCTAATTCAAATCAAGGTTGTGGTTGGGTTTTGTTTTTTGTTTGTTTGTTTGTTTGTTTATGAAAAGCTTAAATCAGGGACTTTGGAAACAAGAATGTAATTTTTTCCATATATTATGTTTATAAACTCAAGATTCTGACCTATCCTCAGTAAATGTTCACAGTTTTTTAGAGATGAGATGGGGTTTGGCTTCGTGTGGGCTTTGCTTTGGGGTTTTATTTGCTATTTGTTGTGTTGGGCTTGGGCTTGAGAGAACATATTTGCTGACCTACCCAATCTCTTTATCCAAATCCCATATTTGCAAGTTCACCACTTTGAGTCAGGGTGAAACCTGGGCCTTTGAACAAAAAGACCCCAATAGCTTGCTTGTGGATCTTTAATATGGCTGTGCCCTTTGTGGTATAATGTCATAAAGCCAGGGTGGCTCTGTGTCAACCAGGAACCTACCCTTTCTGAGAAACAGTTCCTTCCTGACATTTTCTAACAATACCACCCCAGTTCTCCTGATGTGAATTAATCCTGCCTATAAATGGATTTAGTTCAAATAACCCAAATATAGCTCTAACTCTGACATTACACTTTCTGACTTTATATCCAAGGGGATACCAGAAGGAAACACTTTTTCACTGGAGTTTTTATCTACAATTGTATTATTCATGTCTTTCTAATGATCTATAAATCTCTGTTCAACACGAGACACTCAAAGGAAACACTCTATTTCCAAAACTTTTAGTAAGTTTGCACACCTGCACACACTTTTTTCCTTTTACATTTATATGAGCAATGGTTTTGTTAGACTTTAATTGGAGGGATCCTACAGCCTGCTAATTAGAAGCTCAGAGGAAGAGAAAAGAATTAGTCCATATCTCACAAGAGCAGTAAGGGAGACCCTGTAGTCACCAGAGCCTGGAAAGCTTTGACCAGAAGTGCTAGAATACCTAAGACGGAACTTTAATATTGTGGACAGATACTTCTTGTTAATAATTTACGTAAATTTTTAGATTTAAGTAATTCAATCCCTCAAAACAACTATAATGAACAAACTCCACCAAAAATCCTTTTTTTTTTTTTTTGTACTAAGAACTGAACACAGGGCTTCTGCACTAGCTACATTCTCAGCTCTTAATTTTTTATTTTGAACGGGGTCTTACTAAATTGCCCAGGCTGGCTTCAAACTTGCAATCCTCCTGCCTCAGCCTTCCCCAAACCACCATATGGCAAAACTCTGAAATTTGATGTGATTCCTATAATCCAGTTGAAAATTTGTCAGCTAGGATAGGGAGAATTATTCTTGAGAATTCTGATTCAAATTGACCACATTTTAGAATACTCCACACATTGCAGAAGATATAGTCAAGATATATTCAAATACAGCAGAAAATATACTTGTTAGCATATCCTATTGGCTCTGCCTTTTTGTCTATTGTTCACACAATATAAATCAACTAATTGTTTGTTCATTGTTATTCATCATTCCCATACTACCAATTGGAAGGAATTCTTTATATCATACAACAAACATTTTCTGAAAGTCTTCCTTGATTCTGTGATTCTGAATACAAAGAAAAATTCGAGCTGAACTCTTCCTGTCTAGAATTTAATAACACAATTCCTTATAAAAAGTGCTAGAAGACATTTTGATGCTAAAAGAGCCCTTCAAAGAATCAACTCCTTTCCTGGGATGAAAACAGGTTTGCCTCAAAGTCCTGTCCAAACTGAAGTTTATAGGATAAAGGTTTGTGTGAGTCTGGCAAGGTTTTGTGGCACAAAGAAAGCAGACACCAGGCAAAGGGGAATCATGCAAATGCTGAGCATGTGCAGAAGATAATAAATATTTGGGGGGATATATATGTGTGTTTATGGAAGGGGAGCATAGGGAAAATTTACAGCAGAAAAGTAAGTAGATGCCTGACTATAAAGGATTTTATATACTCAGTATTCTATACCATGAATTAAGAAAAAAACTTCATTCCATTAAGTGCTGGCAGATAAAGAAAACCTAAATTGATGGAGTAGCTATGAGAACAGAGGATGAAAAATGCATACAAGACACTTATCTGGTGGTAATACCTAGTTGTCTGTTGAGTTTAACTGTACAAATAGGACTTGGTTTCTGAAGTTAAGATGCCTGGGTACAAGTTTAAGAGATTTTTTTGTTGTTGTTGTTACTGGGGATCGAACTCGGGTCCTTGTGCTTGAGAGGAAGGCGGCAGAACCACTGAGCTAAATCTCCAGTCCTCAAGTTTAAGAGATTCTTAACTTTTACTTTTACAGCCACAGTGAATTTGTTTTCAAAGTTTAAGTTTAGGGATGATTTTAGGACAACAAATGTTATCTCGAAGCTAATATTTATGCTTTCACTGAACGTGGCTCTTCCTGCCCTTTTGTGCCCACCGTCTGTCCCTGTTCCACATTTCTGTCATTTTACATTCCGAGTCCCACTTCTATCCTACCATAGTCTGGCTCGAATGGATGCTAAGTGGTTGCCGTTCCTCACCATCACTTGGAGATCTCCTCTGTGAAGCAGTTCAGGTGAATGCCATCTAAAAAATAAAATACAAATACATCAATATGTATTGAGTGCTTTAAAAACTGAACTGCAAACCCCCAAAGCTATAACAGAACACAGATATAAAAATGCAACGTGTAAGGACATCCCAAGGTCTAAGAGAAGTCAGTACGATAGCAGCCTGATTAATGAAAATACTGACTTCCAATCAGGGCCTCCCAGGGTATTTAAGTTTTGTCCTTTCAATGGGCCAGTTGCTGATTTCAATCCCTTCCCTCCCTCCCTGCTCATCACACGCACATACCAAACACATACATAGTCAAGAGAAAATTATCAGTGTTCAACAAAATTGCAGGAAGTTTATATATTCTTTCCTTACTTCATTAACTTCAACATTTCTTCCACTTTTTTTCTCAGCCTTCTTCCTCTCACGCCAGTTGTATGTTAACCTGCTTAATTGCTTCTACCTTTAGAACGTATTCAGAAAATCTGAATTCTTCTCGCCATTACCAGTTGTACCTCCCTTTACCGAAAATGTTCTTATCAAAAAATCAGGTGAATATGAGCAGGATGAGCAGAAAGGAAGCTGCATAATGTACATAGAGTTGATCGAACAAAGGGAAAGAAATTGTACTATAGGCAGGGAAATCATAGATGGAAGAAAAAGATTTTTTAAAGTATACCATGTGCTGTCGGAAGCAATGCTACATAATTTTAGGGTAAAATCATTTGGTTAGCCTAATTCTCCTGCCCACAGCCCAGCTATGGAATTCTGACACATAATTCCATTTTGGCCTCTGGTCACAACTGAGACCTCAATGATCCAGTGATGCTGTGATTCTCCAGGACAAGAAACACCCTGGGAGTTGAGAACATCCTGGGAGAACAAACATCTACTCAGTTCCTCGTTGTCCTTGGACTGTTACATCTTATTTACCAGGATGTACTGAGCTCTCTGCAGGTCATTTGTTACATTTGTTTCTCCCCATGTACTGAGTACTGAATAAAAGGTGTGGTAAGCCGGGGGTTTTCGCCTTTGCCGCCCAGAGCAGCACTGATCAGACCCGAAGCTCAGCTTCTTCTCAGTCTCATTTTTCTACCTTTCCTGTAATTCGCCGTGTGCTGCCGTGGCTCGCAGGAGACTAGGACTTAACTGCAGAGGTTCTAGTAACGTCCGCTTTCCCTGTTCCCTACAATTTGCTTATCTTCACAGTGTTTGGGAAACAATACTAAGTACTTTAATTACTATTATTCAGACTTGGGAACTGTATCCCTTTGAATGACAGCCCTACTTTCTGCCTGGATTATAGAGCTCTTCGTAAAATTACTGTAGAGGCTCCTTGGGTTGTTTTAGATGATTCCTGTTGCCTCTAATATTCTTCTTATATAGATGAATATATTTTTATATCTCTAGTCTTGTTTTCTGTCCCAAGCACCAAACTTGCATTTTCATTGCCTGCACCTCAAACACAGTATCCTTAAAGTCATGTCCAGTGTTCCTTCTAAACTTCCCTGATCTTGCAGTCTCTCAGAACAGCCTCCACTCACCTAGTCTACAGTAGCAATTTTGCCCCCTCCCCGCATATTCGTTTGCCAACTCCTGACATTTCTACCTTTGTATCACCTCATCAAGAGTGACACCTTCCGTTGGGGAAACTGGAATGCAAGTTGATAAGAATGCCAAGACAATAACCAGAGAAGGGGGAGAACCCATTACTACTTCTGAGTCTGAAGGGTCGATCAGAGGTGGCAAAGTTAATGGACAAAGGAAGTGACTTGAAGAACGGCTACCTGGCAGGAGCTAGGGCTTTGGGTCACAAGCAAGGTCATGATAGGCTCTCACAGAAAGCCCTGGAGTCAGGAGTAGAGACTATAAATCCCTGACCTCGCTCTCATTCATCCCTCTAATAATATCCATTCAGGGCAACTCATTCTTTGAATCTAACTGGAAGCCACAGCATAAAAGTGCCCTTTGATGGAGTCCAAATTGTTTGCTTTCTGGACCTTGATCCCCTGGAAAAGAGAGGCTATAGACAAGAAATGGAAGAAACTCTGCTTGAATACTTCCTCTTTATCTCGTTACCCCACTAATCTGAGATCTATTACCTCCTGCCTGGTCTTCTGTCTTCTACACATCAGCCTCTTTTCTTCTAGTCCACCAAACAATCGTGTTTTCTGCTCTGGGAAAAGATATTCTGTCTCTACGCTATACTGCTCACACCACAGAAATCTCTCAAAGCAGAACAAAAAGCTACCAGATCCTCTTTTCACAAAGCAATGCAGAAATGGAAGAGACTCATGGACAAGTATCTCCCAACTATTTCTAAAGAGGCTATTTAAAAACTTTCTGAGTCCAGGCTTCCTCAGCAACCATGCATATACCAGTGGTCTTGTCCTTGGTCCAAGATAGCACACTAAAAGCCCCCTCCTCTCCTTCCTACATTTCCATATGCCTCTATCCATGCAGCTTTTGAAAGTGTCAAAGGAAGACACCACCACTTGGCATGTAAAATTAAAAACTGGATTTATTGCTTAACATCGTAAGGGAGAACTGTTCTAACCAGGCAATCATGCCAGGAAGAATAAATGGCTGATTTTGAAGAGGGTTCTGTGGAAGTATGCATTCTGGAGTGGTGTTGGTTAGGGAAGCAGGAGAAAGTTGATGCAAACACTTTGTGTGTCAGGTAGAGGCGGTACGGGTTAGCATTGACCTTAGAAGTACACTCAATGGAGTGAGCCTGCCATATTTTGTCCTACTTGCAAAGTGAGTCTGCAGTTCAAGGTTGTCTTCCAGATGAGTATCTAACTGAAGTGGTTTGTCATCAGCCAGCTAAATAGGTTTGAAACTAGATCTGGTGGTTACTTCTTCCCGTGGCCATAGAACTGCCATTGACTGATTACATAGGTTTAAAACCACTCTTAGGACTGAAGGGTGTAGCAGTGGAGAAGCTCTTGCCTACCATGCATGAGGCCCTGGGTTTAATCCAAAGCAGCATCAGCAAAAAATAGTTTGGTGGTTGCCACGATGTAGGGAGAAATCCTCTGAAGCCCAGGCTAGGTAACACCATGCAGTGATAAGTCACTGTTTAGCTGCCCTGGGGGATCCTCAGCAGGTGCTGAGGCTGTGTGCAGCAAAACAGAGCCGTCCCGCACTGTGCTTGCTGAGACCAGCAGAATTCTCCATAAGGATAAGACAGAGAGTGCAGAAACACATAATTCTTCCCATGGGATCTGGTTCCTGTGTAAACAGGAACTTGGCAAGCAGGGTGGTAACATCAGTAGTACAGCTGCCTCTAAGCTGTCTATCCCTGTGCAATTAATTCCCAGTTAACTCATTGATTTAGCAAGCTGGACTGGTCTAAATCATTCTTCGGTCTGTTAGCATTATCCCAAGTTTGACACAGTCATTTCCTCTATGTCTCCTCGGGAAATTCACTAAAAACACAAGTATAGAATAATTAGAATTTTCCTTAATTTTATCTAAAGAGAAATCTTATTCTAATGAGATGTGTGGCTCCATCATATCCCAAATCACACCACTATGGGTTAAAGACCCACACAGTTTTATCTCATCTCTAAGGTATTCCTTGCCAAATCCCTGAAATGAATCTACTCCTTTCCTGGCATACAACTGATTATAATCATGAGCTAACTTCAAATGAAAGAAATAGCTCTGATGCAACCTAAAGTACTACACAATTGAGCCAGCCACTTGTCCCTGCTACAAATTGGTACAACAAAAGTTATGCCCTTTCATGGCTCATGATCCCCAACATCAATATATCATATGCTACTGTCCTGTCCACCTTGACCACTGCTCAATCCTTAGATAGCAAAGTCTCTGACAGGAAGATGAATGCACTGTGTTTCCACGAGTGTAGAAGAGGCTCAGTAACACCACTCAGGAGTCTCCAAAAGGAAGAAGCCCATAAATCAGAAAGGAATTCTAGATCGATGTTCATCTTGGAACATCTGCTCTTTGTAGCCTTGATGGAGGACAAATGTTTGACTAAACTGGAGAGTCGATTGTGTTCTGTCTTAGATTCCCTCCCCTTCACCTGATACCTCTTTCCATATCCACCTTGTGTTCCATCTCCCCCTCTAATTTTGGCCTATTGGGAATCTCCATTATAGCTAAAACTCCTTTGCAGAAGGTTGAGAATGTTAATCAGCCTTTAAATTATTAAAGGAATTTTAGAGAATGTTAGGATTTGGGGTCCGACCACTATGTCACATTCTTTCCATTCTTATATTATCAGTAAAGACAAATTCAGTCTGGCGGATCTTCAGGAAGGATTACTAGCTTATCTCACCAACTAATATGCACTGAAGTGTCCTTCAAAAGCTAGCTGTGCTGAAGTCACTAATGCTAGTAGTAGACAAAACCCATCATTTTGCCAAGGAAATGCGTGGCTCATCTGTTGAGTCTGCCACCAGAGACTGGTGTCCGACCCACTGGTATCACACTCAGCAGAGCCTCTTTGTTTAAGTGACCCAGAGCCTTCACCTAAACCCTGCAGCTGAGTGATAAAAAGCAGCACTGTAAAACAATCACAGAAGTGGAAACTTAAGTTACGCTTATGTCCATGAAGGGTCTGTCAGTCATTTAGCAGAAGGCTCTGCAAAACTATGAGCATGAGTGTGCTCTGTGGAGTTGTTCAAGTGAAATAGAAAACACATTTTCTGCCCTAGAGCAATCTATAACTTAGGGGAGGAAAGCGAATGAACAAATACTAAATTCTGTATGAAAGAAAAACTAAAACCAAATACAGTCCTACAGTTCTGACCCAATTAACCTATCACTGCTCTCAGAGCACTGTAATAATAGCTGTTATGGCTGTGTCTAGATGCCCCCCAAAGCCTCATGAGGTCACAGGTGGGGCTTTTTCAGAGGTGGCTGAGTCTAGGGTATGTGACGCTGGGATTCATTCATGGTGCAGTGCTAGGCTCAAGGGTATGAGTGCTACCTGCCCTAAGGAGCCGGATAAGATATAAGGGACGGAAAGAGTCCTTTACCAATTGAGGAGGAAATGCTGTGTGGTGTTTAATTCTAAGTGTGGGCTTGACTGGGCTAAAGGATGCCCTACTAGCTGGGAGAACTTTGTGGGTGTTTTGTTTTGTTTTGATATTTTGTTGTTGTTGTTGTTGTTATGTTTTGTTTTCATTACCGAGGGGACTGAACACAGGGCCTTCACAGTGAGCTAGTTTTTCACATGCCTAGTTTTTCTTTTTCTTTTTGGTACCCCAGGGATTGAACTTGGGACCTTGTGCTTGTGAGGCAGGGGGCAGAACATGCCTAGTTTTTCTATTTTCTTATTTTATCTTGCTAAGTCACTGAGTTGCCCAAGCTGAGCTAAAATTTGCAAGCCTCCTGCCTCAGCCTCCTAGGGTGATGGGATGACAGGTGTGCACAACCAACCTGGTTTAAATGCCATGACTGAATATCTGTGAGAGTGTTTTTCAGATGAGAGCATCAGCAACTGAATCAGGAGTCTGTGTGAAAGAGACCTGCACTCATTAGCGTGGGTGGGCACCCAATTCACTGAGGACCTGCAAAGAGGCAAAGGGAGGTAGAAGGGGAAGGGGGAATTCTCCCTCTTCTCCAGCTGGACTTCCATCTGCCCAGCTTTTGGACATCTCAGGCCTTCTGACTCTGGGAATCATACCAGCGCTCCTCCCACCCTCTGGTATTGGGGTTTCCAGGGCAAACTGAGTCACACCACACACTCTCCCTATTCCCTAGCTTACAAGGGGCTGATGTGGAACTTTTCATTTTCCATAGTCACATGAGCCACTCCAAGTCTCTCTCTCTGTCTCTCTCTCTCTCTCTGTATGTGTTTTCAGAGTATATTAGGGTTTCTCTGGAGAACCTTGACTAGTATAGTTTGAAAATATGACTCCCCACACTCTTTGCTTGTATGTCCTGAGCACTAAATTGAAGATTAAAAATATCTGACCAATCTATCTTTCTTTATAGGGTTGCTGTTCCAGTTTCTCTTGCTACATAACAAACCACCCCAAACTTCAGGCGTAAAGCAATATTACTGTACCCATAGATTCTTCAGGTCAGGAATCCAAACACAGCAGAATGCTCTAGATTGTTTCTGCTCCAAGACATTCGAAGCTTCGGCTGGGAAGACTCAAAGGCTGGAGGCAGCCCATGTCCTGGGAGGCGGGCCCCTCAGGGGCTTCTTCATCCACACAGTTGGCCATTAATACTGCTGTTGGCTAGGGCCTCAGCTGGGTCGCAGGAGGGGGAACTTGCCAGGGGCCTCCAACTCGAGTTGGTTTGGACTTCTTTGTATCGGTAGTTGAGTTCTAAGAGTGAGTATCAAAACCACAGGCAGGACCTCTGCTATCTTTTATGATCCAGCTTTCCAAGTCTCAGAGGCCCTGCCTGCACTGGCTCAGTCTCACAGCGCTATCATGGATCAATCTGCTATCCAGGTTCCAGGCCCTGACGTCAGAAACCCTCACTGTGAGACAAGCATCAGATTCAAACAGTAGGAAGGGCATCCAGAGGGGGAAACACTGTGATGGCATTGCTGGAATAGGAAATCTTCCATAGTTGCTTTGAGGATCAAGGAGAGCAACAGAAACTTCTGCCTTTAAGAATGCATTTTTGGGGCCGGGGATTTAGCTCAGTGGTTCCGGTGCCTGCTACGCAAGTACAAGGTCCCTAGTTCGATCCCTGGTACCAAAAAAATAAAACAAGAATGAATTTTTGTCAAGTTCTCAGCACTTTGTGAATCTAACAAAATCCATAAGTTATGTGCTTCTAAGACTTTTCATGGCCCCTTTTAGCAATTTATACTATTTTATTAATTAGTTTTTAATAGAAATTCAAATCCTAGGAAAACAATTGAAGTTCTGATTTTTAAAATATAGATGGCTATAAATCACCAGTGGGAAGAAAAAATATTTAACAGCCTAAATTATCAACCAAAATGTGCAAATTAAAACTATAAGAAGTTTTTTAAACTTGAAAACACTGAAATATGACAACATCAGCAAGGATTTACTGTAAGCCCTAGTAAGACTGAGTAACAAACTATTGCCAATAAATGGCAAATTAAAACAAATGTGTGTGGTGATACATGCCTGTACTTCTAGCTCTCAGGAGGCTGAGGCAGGAGGATCTCAAGATCGGGGCCAGCCTGAGGTACGTAATGAAATTTTGTCTCAAAAAAGCAAACAAATAACCAAGTAAATAAATAAATGAAATACTTATTACTGTATACAGTGTCTGAGGGTTGGGCATCCAGGAATATCTTAGCTGGTTGGTCCTGGCCTAAGATGCCCCATTGGTGGTCAGCAGTAAGTCGTTGACTGGAGAACTCAGGTCCTTGCCTGCTCTTGGGAGGAGGCTTCAGTTCCTCATCACAGGGGTGGTTTTTCGAGGTTGTTGAAGTCTTTCTTCCCACCACACAGCAGCTGTCTTCCTCCCAAGCAGGGCATCCAAGAGAGGCAAAACTGACATCTCAGTGCTCTTGATGAGCAGAAAACTGTATTTCTAGGTAAACTCAATGATATGTTTGACTGTGCTGAGAATAAATGATTTTAAATAAATTTAAAAACAAATAAATAAATACAGTATTATGCACTCAGAGAAATCACATTTCTTAAAATCTATATTGACTAGAAAGTCAGCAATATGCATAGCAATATGCATAGTTTGGCTATCATAAATCTAAGCATAAAACGCTTACCTTCTCAGGAAAATTCTGTAACTTACATCACACAAATCACTGCTTGAGGAAATATACAGTGAATATCATTTGTGGACAAACAGGTCTTTCATTCTGGCTTCTTTTCTTTTTCATTTTCCTTTCCCCAGATAAGTCTAGTAAGTCTAAACTTCACAAAAATCAGCCTGAAATTTTCTCTCCTGAAAATTCTCAAGTTCATTTTGCCTGTTCTACCTACACTTAGATCTTTCATTCAGAAATTCTAACTCATTGTACAAATGAGATGATTAAACCATATATTCCTCCATGAACATAAGGTAATTCAATTGCGTACATAAGGTAACACAACAAGAGTTAAATGTCCAACAAAATTTCCAAAGCAAATTCTGAAAAGCCCTAGAAAGAGGAGGCTTCCTCCTAAAATACAGGCCCCTTTTATCAAGGGTTTTTAATATTCTTGTCTTCTTTTGCAAATAACTGCAAGTGTAAGAAAGAATGTGAACCTTTGCACTTGAGTAGCCAACATGTTCAAAGTATCTTAGTACAAGAAAGAAAATTTCAATTTTCTCAAAAAAATAAATGCTATTATGCTCTATTACACATTAATTAAAAATTATTTTTATTTTTCAAAATTAGTTATCACATATGAAACCTCCTTGTTTGAAATAAAATAAGCTAAACTAAAACGAAGTTAAAAGAAGTTGTAATTTGAATAAGACCAATAAAAGGTTTTCATACATTCATTCTGAGGTCTTTAGTATTTTATCTCTCCCGAGCTCATAACCACAAATCCAGTAAATTATATTAACTAAAATGCCCTATCAGTGTTGATCATAAATATATTAAAATTTTTAAAACAAAACTTTAAAATTCCCCCTCCAAAAAAGGTAGAAAATACATATTTAATAACATGCCAAATGCAAGGCTGTCCTTTCTTTAGGAGTGTAAATCCCCACTTAAATAGAGTGAGAACTAAAAAGTGATAGAAATTCTTTTTTCTAAATGTCTCTGTCTTCAGACATAAGGACTGAGTTCTCTTATTACAGTGAAGTTGAAAACTGGCTGTTTATTGGCACATTAGTAAGTTACTCAAAAGCTTTTTTGGCAAATGCCCACCTCAGAAAAGAAAATGTGTGAGCTTCACTACAAAATCTACAATCTTTTAATTGGATGTGTACAAAAGGCCTTGTTACGGCTTGTGTCTAGAGGTCTCCCCAAAGCCTCATGCCATCATAGGTGGGGCTTTTTCAGAGATGTCTGAATCTGGAGTGGGTGATTGACTCATGATGCAATACTAGGATTAAAGATGCTAGGATTAAGATGTGTGATTACTAAATCAGTCCACTGATTGGACTGGCACTGCCCTAGTCCCAGTAGACTGGATAGAATACAAGGCTAGAAAGAGTCTTGTCTTGCCCCTTGCTTGCTTTGCTGCTTTCTCAACCCCCCATGAACTGTTTCTCCTCTGCAACTCCCTCCTGCCACACCACCCTGCCTTGGAGTCAGCCGATTATGGATTGAAACCTCTACAAACTGTGAGCTAAATAAACATTTTCCACTTTAACTTTGGGTGTTGCGTATTTTTGCTCAGCAACAAGAGAAAAATAACTAAGACAGGCCTCATTTGGATTCTGTGCATATTATGAATCAATCATTTACATTTACAATTCCAACTTGCATTTCTCATGAACCAGTACCTCAAAATGCAAAATTTATTTCTCCAAAATATAAATGCCTACCACTTTAGAGGTATTTCAGTAGACTTAAATTAGCTCTACAGTCTCAGGAGAAAAACTGTAATCCCTCTGAAGTACCCCACCTCCCAATGTTGCCCCATTGACTACCAAATTCCAACACAGGTTTTGGCAGGATGAGTCATGCCCAAGTGACATTTCCAACATGGTGCTTCCCTCTCTGCCCTGAGTTGATGCAACCAGGCTGCCTCTCCCTCTCCCTTCTTCGGCATCACACTCCCTCTGCCTCTCAAGATTGCTGTGCTATTTCTACTTTTGAACTACCCTCCCAGAAGATGTTCTGTCCACCTAAATCCTATACATTCCTCAGGACCAACTGAAGTCTCAACATATACATAAAACCTTCCTGTATACTTCAAATCCACTGTAACCTGACCTCCACCTGCCTCCCATACTCATGCGTGCATACACACACATACACACACACATACACACACAGATACATTTAAGCTCCTTGTTTGGGGTGAGTATTTGGGTCTTTTGTTGTATATGTAAACACTAAACCCCATCATGCCTAGCTTTTAGCACTTGCCCCAAACAATTAGCCTGCTTCTCTGGAGATTAGGGTTGTGTTTTACTCAGTTTTCACTGGAGCTACAGTGAGCACACAATGAGAACTGATCTGCATATAACTGCATATAACATAGAACCGATGTGCATATTTATGACCCTGGTCCAGGCAGACATCATCATATTAGCATCTTACAAATAATGCATTGTCTTGTCACTGAGAAAACAGGAGTGATTCTCAGCTACAAAAGCTCACAAAAGGTGCACAAAATTAGCTCATGGATTACCCCAGCTTTATATTTGGGACAAGAAGAACATTTTAGAGCAAGTGCAGGAAGCTCAGACAGCTGTCCTGGGATCCTACAGCGAATTCCTTACATAGTAGAATTCACCTAGTGCTGCTACACTGATCCTCGCCTTGGGCATAAATCTGAGACCCCAGCAGAAGCCTCGTGATTACTTTAAGTTATTCCTTTCAAAGGACTAGAAAATCTGGGGTTGTTTTTTTTTCCGATACTGAGGTTGCTTTGTGTTTTGTTTTGTTACTGGGGATTGAACCTAAGGCCTTCACCCTAAGCTACATCCCCCAGACATTCTTTTCCTCCCTCAGCCTCTCAAAGTGCCGGGTTTATAGGCACGCACCACCAGCCCTGGATGTGTTTGACTGAGCAGATTCACGGCTTTGTTACTGTGAAACGGGCTCCTTTGGCTCCAGGTCCAGCAGCACAGCACGGAAAGCTCTTCCTCAGTCACCCTTCCTCTCAGCCCAGAAGACACCAGGTGCTGTCCTTAGCCTCCAGCCACAGGGAGGGAGATGGCTCCCCTCCTCCCAGCAAGGCCCTCCCACTCTGCTCCCAAGTTGGTGCCTGCCTCAGCTGCTTCCCATGGAAGCTCTAATCCGCTGGGGTGCACACATGCATCCGAAAGATAAATGGCAGGTATCGCCAAGGCTAGTTTTATAATTGACAAATCCTATCATAAAAGGTTTGTGTAAAGGGTTCATAAATGCAGATGTTTTGATATATTTTTAAATTTTTAATTGACACAATTATATATATATATATATTTATAGGGGACATTCTATTTCAATAACGCATACCATATGTAACAGTCAGAGTAAGGTCATCAGCATAGCCATCACTGCAAACATTCATCATTTCCTTGTGTTGGGAACATTCCAAATCCTCTCCACCAGCTATTTTGAAAAATACAATTAATTCTTGTCAAGCACAGCTTGTAGTTAGCGTTACAAAACTCTAGAAGTTACAACTGGGATCCAGCCGCACCTGGGCATTCAACAAATTGTCTCTGTCCCACCTGGGCCCCCTTTCCAGCTTCTGGTAACTATTATCAGACTTTCTACTTGAATAAGGTCAATTTTGTAGCTTCCATATCTCAGTGAGAACATCTAATACTTTAGACGTGGAGTCTGTTTAAATTCTTACCGTAAAATAAATGTTGAGCCATGGATACTGTATGTCTTAGCAGACAACC